AGACGCGCTGTCGCAGGTGGGGAAACCGAGGCCCAGACACAGAGACGTGCTGTCACAGTTGCAGGGTTTGGTGGCCTCGGCAGGAACATCAGGGCCCCGGAGCCTAACTCCTGCTGTTTTGTTGCACACGGATGGTGGAAGCCAGGGCCGGGACCTCACTGAGAACGCACAGTTAGCCTCAGGGTGGGAATGTTCAGGCCCCTGCCGAATGTCCAGACCTTCAAGCCTCACACTCATCTCTTCTCTCCTTGCTGCTTTATGTTGTTCAAGGCTTTCCTCACGGATTGATACACCAAAGACTGCTTATCTGTTTCGCCTCGTGTCTGTCTCCCCCACGAACCTCTGCCACTCTGTCACTGCTGTAGCATCAGCCCCTGCCATGGTGCCTGCCCATAAAATGCTCAGTTCTTGTTGGGTGGAAGCCCACGCAAGAGCCAACAGAAATGTGACATTCACACCCATCCTACTGGGAGGAAAACTGAGGTTTGGGGAAGGGCAGGGACTTGTCAGAGACTCCCACCTCCAGCTGGGCTCCCAGAACTTTCCAGAAGCCACAGCGGAGCTAGGGAGAATAGAGCAGGACAAGCTTCCACCACCACGGCCTCCCTCCTCCACAGCTGGAGCATACCATTCTCCACAGTGTCCATCCCGCAGGACTTCCTCAAGCCGGTCTGCAGAATCTGGCACTCAGTGGCCCGCCAGCCCTGGGGTGCTGTGGTCAGCCGTGGATCAGGGTTGCAGCTGAGGGTCCCCATGGTGAGCAGGTGAGGAGCTGCAAGGAGCTCAGGGGCCAGGCAGCACCCACGCCTGGTGCCGTCTCCTCCGCAGCAGCAGCTCTGGGCCACAGGTCCCGGCACTGTCCTCAGTCCTTGCGACTTGTGCTGATGTTGGCAGGGCCCTGGCCTCACCACACACACCCCGGGGACTGCACAGACAGGCCCTTGTCCCTCAACAGAGAGTCTTGGCACCCTGGCCCTAGCGGGCCGATCAGCGGACACTGGCCTGGAAGTGGGGCCAAGATCGAGTGTCAGCCTGGGGCTGGATGGTCCAGGAAAGAATCCTGTGTCGGCAGAGTGGGTCCCCAGGGAGCAGCCAACCTGGGCAGTCGGGGCCAGAGAAGGCTCCAGAGAGCCAAAGCCATAAACACAACACCTACAGCCTTGTAGCAGAAGGGACTGGTGAGGTCTTGGGCAGTGTGGCCCTATTTCTACAGCTGGGGAAACTGAGGTGCAGCCCAAGGTCATACAGTGAGTTTGCCCCTATATGGGAATTGCAACTTCAGGCCAAGAAACTTGCCTACCTGCCTGCTTGCATCCCTTCCCTCCTTCTTCCCTTCATCCAATATGCACTTATTGAGCACCTACTGCATACTAGGTTCTGTTTGGGTTGGAGGGGACATGAAGGAATAGACAGATGAGGAGCTGATGTTCTCAGTAGGGGACAAAAGAAATAAACAATGAATTAATAAATGAGCAAATAGTATATAAGAAGGGGTTAAATGTGCTAGAAAACACTGGGCCAGGCTAGGAGCCCTAGATGGCAGCGCAGGTGCAGGCCAAGTGTTGGGGCAGGAGGACAGGTCACTGAATTGAGAAGTGAAAGGAGAGCATGTCTTAAGGGAATGGCCATGCAAAGGCCCTGGGGCAGAAGCAAAGATGGCAGGAAGGCAATGGCGGTCCTCCAGGACAACCCATGACCTCCCAGAAGCCAACAGAGATTTACTCCCCAACTAGAGTTTATTTCTCTGCCTGCACTAAAGGCAACCGCTGTGTCAGTCTCTAAGAATGGGCTCAGGGAACCTGGCAGAGCAGAATTCAAATTCCTGTGTCTTCCATGTGTGTCGCTGTGTTGTCAGGCTGTTTTGCACTGTCACATTTAATAGCTTTATTGAGTGACAACTGACATATGATGCAATTCACTCCTCAATTTAATTGTAATACATCTTATAGTTTTTTAACTTTTTAATCAAAATGCTAAAAAGTTCATGAAACAAGTCTGAAATGTTTATATTAGAAAAGAAGGGGGGGAAAGAAGAAAGATCTTAAAACCAGTGACCTCAGGTTCCACCTTAAGAAGCTAGAAAGAGAAGAATAAGTGGAAGGGAGGAAATCAAAGACATAATAGTAGAAATGCATGAAATGGAAAACTGTAGAAAGAATCAACAAAGCCCCTCCCCCCAAAAGCTGGTTCTTTAAAAAGATCAGCAAATTTGATAAAGCTCAAGATAGAATGACCAAAAAACAATGAGAAAGAACATAAATGACCAATATCAAGAATGGAAAAGAGACATCACTACAGACCCACATGCCTTAAAGGGATGATAGGGTCTATGTGAAGCTACCAGCAGAAAAACTCCCATCCTTTTTATGCTCAGGCACCTCATGTGCATCACGTTGGTTAATTATCTCAGCATCCCATTGAGGGAAATGCTGTGGCTAAACCTCATTTGTGGTCACAGATAGGGAAACTGAGGCTCAGAGAGGGGAGGTGAATGTGCAGGTCCCTGAGTAACTTAGCAGCAGAGCAGGAGTTGAATCCAGGACATTCTGACTCAGATTTTAGTTCAAAGTTTAGGGTCAAGGGCTTCTCCCAAACTCTGATACCAGCTCAGTGTTCTGGGAGTGCTGAAAACCCACTGTGGACTCCTACAGCCCCAAAGATAAAATCCAAGCCCTCGCTGGCACACAAGGCCATGCCAGGCACAGTCCTGGCCCCCCTCCCCTCTGCCCTCGCCTCTGATCCTTCAGTCCTCACTCACTCTCCTCTGGTCACAGTAGCACTCCTATTCCTTGAAGCCACTCCAACCAGGTCCCACCTCAGGGTGCCTGCTTGAGCTCCCTCCACCTGGGGCACCTTGGCCTACAAACCAGCCCACAGCCAGCTCCTTTCTCAGTCACCTCTGGGCCCCCCAAATTGGACAAGCCACTTGCTTCTTTCCAGAAGCAGCACAAACCCCAGCACTGTGAACAGCACTAGGCATTGATGAGGGAGACAGGAGGTACAAACCCCAACCTCCTCCTCCTGCCAATCAGTCTGTCCCACTGACCAAAACTGGCCAGAAGTGCAGGAGCCCAGGGGTACCATCACTGAGATCAGCCTCAAGGACCCAGGACCAGGCAGAAAAAGGACCAGGGTCCTGGCCGGAGGATGATCTTTCATCCAGGTCCAAGCTGGGACTCGGCCCCAACTGCCTCTGTTTCCCCATCGTGACATGGGAAGAAGCGAAGAGCTAATGCGGGGTGGGAAACAGACAGGAATGACTGCCTGATCCTGAAGGGGAGGTTTTGGAGACCGCAAAGTCCAGCAATATCACCAGACTGAGCTTATCCGAGAGACCCCCCCACCCCCAGCCGGTCCCCAACCAATCACACCAGCTTCTCTCAGCCAACTCACTTTTGGCTCAGAGCTCCCCACCACCGCCAAGTAATGGCATGTAAATGAGAAGCTAATTCTAAGCCCATGCAAATGAGCCATGTTTTTAATCCAATCTGATTCATTGACAGAGGAGAGCAAATCAGCAAAATAGAACAAGGAAGCCTGTACTGGGATAGGGCGCAAGGCTCCTCCCTCAGCAATATGATGTGGCCTGGGGGGGCCCAGGTGATGGACGGCAGGCTCTGGGCCTCAGTACCCCCAGAAGAGGCTGCAGGGACTGAGCTGATAGCATCGATGCTCATAATTATCAATCCGACTGTTATTTATTTGTGTGCCCACTGTGTGCCAGGCACGGTTCAGGCACTAGGAAAACGGGTGTGAACAAAACCCATCAGCTCCCTTCCTCACCCTTATTGTTGAGAGAGACAAACGAGTGAGTGCGTTTTACATTACTTTAGAAGGCAAATTAGCGTCTTGGAGAAAAATCGAGGCCAAGGAGGGCTTGGAGGTGTGGGGAGTTGCAGTTTGAAATGGAGTGGTCAGGCGAAGCCTCACTGAGAAGGTGACATTCAAGAGAGACCTAAAGGAGGTGAGGAGGGAGCCAGGGGATGGCCTGGGGAGAAGGCACAGCAGGTGCAAAGGTCTTGAGCCTCAAGGGCACCTAGCATTCCGGAGGAACGGCGAGGAGACCCGTATTGGTTGGAGCGGAGGGAGTGATGGGTAAAGAGAGGGAGCAGGTCGTGCAGGGTCCCGGGAGAGGACTGAGGCTTTTACGCGCAGAGGCACCTGGGGCAGAGCGGGGGCTCTTCCCAACTCGGTGCTCACCAGCTCTGCCCAACTCGGTCCCGGGGAGGGCTGGGGCAGAGCAGGGACCTGCCCAACTCGGTGCTCACCAGCGCCCCCTGGCTGCCGCGGGGAGAACGGACCGCGGTGGCGCCGGGAGACGAGGAGCGAGGGGACTGCGCTGGTCGGGGTGGGGAGGGAGAGATGGGGGATGGAGGTGGGGGGTGGAGGTGGGGGAAGAGGTGGGGGAGATGTGGGAAGGCGGTGGGGGAGAAGATGGGGAGGGGGAGATGGGAAGGAGGAGAACGGAGCTGGGGTGGAGGTGGGGGGGCGGGGGGGGGCAGGAGATGGGGAGGAGGGAGGTGGGGAGTGGAGGTGGGGGGAGGGGGGAGACGAGGTGGGGGAGTTGGGGGAGATGAGAGGAGGCGGGGTGGGAAATGGAGGGGAGAAGTGTTAGGCTCCACCAGTTGGTGGTGGAGCAGGAGGTAACAAGCAGGTGGGTCCTGGATCTATTTTAAAACTAAAACCAACAGGGGGCGCCTGGGGGCTCAGTCGTTAAGCGTCTGCCTTCGGCTCAGGTCGTGGTCCCAGGGTCCTGGGATCGAGCCCCGCATCGGGCTCCCTGCTCAGCGGGGAGCCTGCCTCTCCTTCTCCCTCTGCACCTGCTTGTGTTCCCTGTCTCGCTGGGTCTTTCTCTGTCAAATAAATAAATAAAATCTTAAAAAAAAAAAACTAAACTAAAACCAACGGGTTTTGTGGGCTCATCTGATGTGCTGCCTCCAGGATTTGGGCCTGAGAACAGGAGCCGATCGAGCTGCCTGTGACTGGGAGGGGAAATGCAGGTGTTCAGAGAAGATCCAGAGCTCAGTTTTGGGACGGTGGGATGTGGAGCCTCTGGTGGACAGCAGCTGTGCAGGTCCAGGTTCTAGGTTCTCTGTGCCACATAACAAAGTCCCCCAAACTCAGTGGCTTAAAAAAACACCCACGTTTAGTATGTCACAGTTTCGGAGGGCAGCAGAGTTATGTCCTCGGCTCAGGCTGCATTGCTGCTGTTGGCTGGGCTGAGGGCTGACTCGGGAGGCTCCAACAGGGAACAGTCCACTTCCCCGCTCCCTCGGTTGTTTCCTTGTGGTTGTAGGACTGGGAGCTCCCTTCCAACTGGCTTCTGACCAGGTGGCCTCCTAACGTGGCTGCTTAGTTTTTCAAAGCCAGCAAAGGAAAAAGTCTCAGCAATATGCCGGATGGAGCTGATATTATTTATAACAGTAAGAGTGAGCAGGTGTCCCTACCAAGGGCCCTGGTTCTTCCCTCTCTCCACTCCCTCCTTCTCTTCCTGAATCCTCTAGTTCCTTCTTCAATCATTGCCCCCAGATTCACTCATCTCTCTTCTTCCCCTGCAACCCATTTTCTGCACAAGAACCAAATGATCTTTTGGAATCGAAAGTCACCCCCGTATCTATGTTCTGCTTACAAAACATTCCCCTGGCTCTCCCTGTGCTGTGAACAAATCCACACTTCTAACCTTGCCTATGTCTGGCTTTGAGGGCCGGAACTGCACATATTGGGCACCGATCATGTACCAGCCTCTGTGCGGGGGCAACCCACACCGCCCACAAGACACAGAATGCAAACCACATGTGCCATCTTGAGTTTTCTAGTAGCCATGTCAAAAAACAGAAACAAGATAAATTAGTTTTAATAATACATTTTATTTAACTCAACAGAACCGAAATAGTATCATTTCAGTATACAAAAACTGTGGTTGAGACATTTTACATTCTTTTCTTCACGCTAAGGCTTCAAAATCCAGTGTGCGTCTTGCACTCACAGCACATCTGTTTGAGCCAGCTGCAGTTCAAATACTCAGTGGCCACTGTGTTGTCAGCACAGATCTAGAGTGCTTTAGATTTAGAGTTCCCTTAGTCCGGTGGCTCTCAGCCTAAGGCCCCTGGACACCGCACAATATCTGGGGACACTTTCGGTTGCCAAGACTGGGTGGGAAGGGTGCTCCTGACACTCTGTGTGGGGGCCAGGGATGCAGAGGGTAGCCTGATGCAGAGGGCTGCAACCAGCATTCCTCCTCACAGATCAAGCACACCCGTGTAGTCAGCCCTCAGATCCTGGGACAAGATGCTTCCAGCCCCCCAGAAGCCCCATCATGCCCCCTTCCAGTCGTCTCCTCCCCTCTACCTTGTAACCACTGTCCTGACTTCAAAAGTGAGGCTGTTGCCACCCCCACTTTTTTTCTTTGCTTTATATAAACAGAACTGTGCACTGCATTCTTATGAGGCCTCTTTCCCTAGACCTAGTGTGTACGATCCATCCTCTTGCTGGGTGTGGTTATAGACCGTTCATTTCCATTGCTGTGTAATATTCCATCGCATGAGGACAGCACACTTTATTTGACGAGCTGCTAGGGAGTTTCCCTTTGAGGCTACTGCAGATAATGCTGTTCTCAGCATTCCAGGCATAGGGCACCGCCTGTGCAGAGGTCCTGGGGAAGCACTGGGCTTATGTGCTGAACAGTGAGGAGGCTCTTGTGGTTGGAGCAGCGTTGAGTGGGGGGAGAGAAAAAGGAGTTAAGGGCAGGGAGGGGATGAGGGCAGGGTGAGGGGGGTGGGCACCCTGAAGGGCTCCGGGCAGAGGAGGGCTGAGGTCAGGTATAAGAGAAAAGGAGTCAAGAATGGCTACAAGGCTTTGACCTGAATCTCCTGAAGAACAGGTCTGAGGCTGAACCCAGATGAGGGGCCTGTTCCAGCTGCACCCCTGCACAGCCGCACCCCTGCACGTAACATGCCGGTGCAGACACACGCACAGGAGACCGGAGCTGCGCCTGTCGCGTCCTAGAGTACAGAGCCAGTGCACAACGAACTCCTCCTGACATGTGGGTGAGGGGGACGCTTGTCGACATTACAGCTGCTGTCAGTCCAAGTTCCTACCAACCCTTTGTAAAATCATCTGGAGGCTGAAAGTGAGGATGTGCCCCCAGAACACTGGGGGGGGTTGTTTGTTGGGATTTTTTTTTTAGATTTATTTGAGAAAGAGAGAGAGAGAGCACAAGCAGGAGGGAGGGGCAGAGCAAGAGGAAGAAGCAGATCGACGTGGGGTCCAATCCCAGGACCCCGAGATCATGACCTGAGCAGAAGGCAGACACTTCACTGACTGAGGCAGCCAGGCGCCCCAGAAGGCCGGGTTTATTGAGTGACCTGCTGTCTTCTGTTGCTGGAAAGCGGGTGGCAGCCAAGCAGGTGTTCATGGCCGCCCCCATCCAGTGTCAGATGCAGCTCTGACCTCCCATCTGCCACAATCTGTCACTTCCCACCCACTCCCCCGGGGCATCTGCAACTGTCCTTTGTCCCACGGCCAGCCCCCTGACTCACATGCCTCTGTGGCTGCCTGCCCCTTTGTTCCAAGGGGACTCTAACAAAGAAGACTTGTTCTCCCCAAGACAAGAGCACAGTGAACCTGCCAGGCTCCCCTCCTGTCTCCATCTGGGAAAGTGGCCGCTTTCCATGTGGGACAGAGCAGGGGTAGGCTCAGCTCTTGTGTTCTGCTAGGTACCCAGCTGCATGTCTGCCAAGTCCCTATTTTGCAGATGCAAACACTGAGGTTCAGAGGAAGGCAGGCTTGTACTCCGAAGACTGGAGGGCTGGATCGATGTCTCGGCCGGCTTTCCTGAAGCCTACAGAATTCTACCCAACCAGGTCCTTTCTCTCCCTCTGGCTTCATCCATCCCTCTGGAGCAGCCCCCCTGGCCTCTTTGCTTTCCTAGAACACACCAGGCAGCTCCAGGCTCAGGGCCTTTGGACTCACTGTACCCTCTCCCTGGTATGCCCTTTCCCACATAGATGCTTGCGAAATCTCTTCAGTTCCTCCAAGTCTTTGCTCAGGCCTCTCCATCTAAACAAATCTTCCTCTGAGCGCTCAATTTAATTCTACAACGTGCCCCATCTCCACACTACCGGACCCTCTTCCATTTCACTTTCTTTCGCTCACAGCATTTATCACCAGCAAACAGAGTATACCCTTTACCCACTGCACAGTGGTGGACCGGAGTTTTGTGAGCTCACTGAGGTCATGTTGGTAGCTTGAAATCAGCCATGATGGGAATGACTACACCACAGGAATCAGCATGCACTACAGAGCTAGGCTTTTTATGCGGCAGAAGCCAGGATTCAACATTTATCAACACACAGCTGCCTGTTTATTACACTTAGTGCTTATGGCCTCTGGTTCCTCCTGCCTCCATTAGAATGTAAGCTCCTAGGGGCAGGGGTCTGCCCACCTTGCTCTCTGCTGTCACCCTGGCATCCAGGAGGCACTCAATAAATACTTGTTGAATGGAGTGACCCTCATCCCTAGCAACTGCTCTCCGACTTTGACATCAGGCCTCCATGACGAACCACCCCTCGGCATGACCCTGGTCCCTAGCACCATTTCGCCAGACCCCAGAAACACCCTCCACCTTTAGATACATCCCTCGAGCTCCCTAGCACCCCGACCCTAGGCCAGGCAATCCGGTCCCCTCGCAGCTCCCGCGGTCGCCGGGAAGGGAGCAGAAACACCGCCGCCTCTGACTCCGGTCATTCCGCACGGATTTCCTGCGCGCCTGCTGCCCTCTCGGCTCTGGCACGCAGGGCCGTCCTCGCCGCCTCCGCGAGGCCGGTACCAGGGCCGCACGACCCACACGCCGCACGGCGTCCTGGTCATTCGCTGTAAGAGGCGCGCGGACCGCAGGCGCCGGGTGCGCGTAGGCCCGCTCTCGGCCCCCAGCGAGCGGCCGCGCCCGGACCCGCAAGAACGCTGGTCTCCACCTGCGGGTCTGCGGGTCTGCGGGTCTGCGGGTCTGCGGGTCTGCGGG